AACGCCGGAGAAGTTTGGCAGCCGCCTCTCTACAGTACCTTCCTCACTCCCTCTGTCTCCCTCACCCCCAGCACCTCTTACTGCTGACCTGGGAGCCACACCCTCCTCCTCCTCTACCTTCTTACCTCCAGTCCGTCAGTCACTCTCCTCCATTATCACCACTCCCTCCTCCCTCTCTTTGTCGCTTCACCCTCACTCACCGTCTCCATCGTCCCGTTCCTTCTCCTCTAGTGGCACTACACCTCTTAGTAAGCGTCTGTTTATCAGGGCTGTGTCAGAGTCCTTACCACCAACCCTCACAGCCCAACCTCAACCCCCACCCACCCTCACAGCCCAGCCTCAACCCTCACCCACCCTCACAACCCAGCCTCAACCCTCACCTACACACACCCGAAAAACCCGACCCCTTTTTCCGGAAAGTGTGGAATCCAACTCCTTCCGAAAAAGAGGGAAGGGATTCTCTGTCTCTCCTGACGAAGACTCCACTGACGCCACACTTCGAGCTTCTACCGACGACAAACTTTCCAGTTCAGCTGCACCTGAAGGATCTCGCAGCACCTCCACGTACACACTGCAACGAAGAACTTTTAGACATGACGATGACGAGGCTGTAGAGAGACTAGAACAGCCAGGCCAGAAAACGGAGAGCGAAGTGGCAGAGAACAGGGGCCTCAATTGGCGACATCTGAGGCTGCCAGGAGAGAGGAATGCCTGGAAGAGACCAGAGTCACACCCACAACATTTGCTAGACTCGACCGACACAGACGTCCTGGACACGGAAGCCTCAAGCAGACGCGGGGACGTGGACACCAGTACAGAGGGACACGAGGTCTTGAATCTGGGAAATGACAACGACGGACTGAATGACTCCGCCTTACCTATGCCTTCACGACGCTACGACGTCTTCAACTCTGACACGGACAGGTAGGATGACGTGGGTGAGTGGTTGGTGCTGCTCGTGGGCGCTGCCCGCCACGTTGCTCATCTGGTAACTTTCAGAGACTTTCTGGTATCTTCTGGAAAGTGCTGGTCACAGCTTAGAAAGCTGTAGCCGCTTAGAAAGCTGTGGCCATCACGTGTTAGTTTGATACGTTTCAGGCCCTTGAGCAAGCATGATGAGGGCGTAGCATGTATTACCGTTACTGTGTTAGTAACTGACCATCGCAGGACAGCTCAGTGAGTACACAAACAAGGACTAACCCAACCCTCAGGTATATTAGGTCGGTACGCCTCCCAGGGTACTGGTAGTGGGAGGTGCACCAGAGCACAGCTCCAACCCCTGGGAGGCACCACAACGCTGACTAACCCTACATCTCCTCTCACCACCCCTTCAGGGTCCCCAGCATGTCGCCTTCAACCCTTCGTGGTGGCCCTGGGCCTGCCTCCTGGAGGTCCAGCAGGTCTTCGGCCCGACCTTCACGCCTCTCTTGTTTACCTGGTGTCTGTAGTCATCCTGGTGACGGTGGTGAGGCCTCGGAGGACGTCTGCGACACCAGTGACACAGAGGTCATAACACCAGTGACACAGACGTCATAACACCAGTGACACAGACATAACACCAGTGACCTGACCTGACACCCACAACTACCAACAGCAAATCTTTTCAGTCAAAATAACCTTTAACAGGTTAATTGTTTACATGGTAACCTTCAGTTCTCATCAGAGTAAACTGTGGTAAACGGGACAATCAACATCACTAAACCATCAACCCAACAACTTATGTTTGTAGGTATACTTCTGATTCATACTCGACTGGTTCGGCATGCCCGAACCAGTCGAGTATGAAAGCAATGCATTGTCCTACTTCACTGTCGTTGAAGCATTAAGGTTTCTGGCCTGAAATAATTTCTCTGTCAAAGTGAAGAAACTCAACCAAGAGCTGGACACAGAATCATCGGTCTAAAAGGTGTTTAGACATGATTGAAACTTAAATTTAATGCCAATAACGTTGTCCTTAACACAATGTTTTCCTTCTGCTTTCCCAAAGCAATTGATGAATGTTTTCCTACCAAGTTATGTTCTGCTGAACTCCTGTGGTGCATGGGACCTTAGATGGGGTTCTGTGGAACCTTCGATGGGGTTTCGTGGGACCTTGAATGGGTTCCGTGAAACCTTGGATGGGGTTCCGTGAAACCTTAGATGGGGTTCCGTGGGACCTTAGATGGGGTTCCGTGGGTCCTTTGATGGGGTTCCATGGCATCTTAGATGGGGTTCCGTGGCACCTTTGATGTGGTTCCGTGGCACCTTAGATGGGGTTCCGTGGCATCTTAGATGGGGTTCCGTGGTATCTTAGATGGGGTTTCGTGAGACTTTAGATGAGGTTCCGTGGCACCTTAGATGGGGATCTGTGGGACCTTGGGTGGGGCTCCGTGAGACATTGGATGGAGTTCCGTAGATCGCGTCATGAGAGGCAGGATAAAAAGTCAAAACGTTAAAACGTCAAACGTCAAAAGATGAATTTACATTTATTCTGCGACTCCTGTGGAATATTTGAAATCTGGTAGGAAGAATGAGGGTGGGTTAGGGCAAATCTTGGAATTCAAGCGATGAGATATACAGAATACATGTTGCCCTCTTGCGGCCACAGTAAGAAACAGGAACCACAACATGTCAACAAAACACAGCTGATGACCACTTGGGACTTTAGGCATATGAAGCGCAGCAGAGTTTTTGAGGCGACGGCAATAGCTTACTGACCGGCCAACCAGTACACTGTAGTCTGGCATATGGTCCAGGACAAAAAAACATCTCAGTGTATGTGTATAGAGATTAGGGTGGGGAATACACCGCTGGGTGAATGTACTCTGCTGCTGTAATTGATTTGGTGAGTTTGTCTGTGTTTTAAGGTTCGGTTTTCTCGGTTCAAAGAAGTTATGATAATATCAATGTTTCTAAAAACGATCTACATGTGTGCTAGTTTTTACAGTTAATATTATAAACATGATTTATGATAAAATCTTTGCAGACAAATCTATGGCTCAAGGCACTTAAATTTTCTTGAAATTTGATAAATTTACTTAGATAATAACAATCTTTTAGATTAAAATCAGAGTAAATTATTTGACTTTACAATAAGCTATTTAGAATGCCCTGACTTCCTGGCATCAGTTAGAAGTGAAGACGCATGGCAGGCGCTAGTGTGACGTCACATGTACTTACTGTGTGTGTGTTCCCGCAGGACCCCGACGCAGAAGCGCCCACAGCCTCCCCAACGCACTCACCACAGCCTCAGGCTCCACGCCCACCGCAGCACCTACCCTTTCGAGTCTGAGGTCCGCGGCGAAGGCTACCACACCAGAATCAGGTTTGATCCTTTTGGAACTGGAGTGCCCCTGAAAGACCAACATGCGCCCAGGAGCCAAACCTTCGGCAACTGGTCGCCGCGCCCGCCTCCGCCTGTTCTAAAACCAATTGGCCAGTTACCACTGTCAGACCGCCCACCGCCGCCTCACTTCGTTGCTGCCGCCCACCAGCCCCACCGGCAGCCCGCGTCATTCACAGCCTCAAGGTTTGCACATCAGCGGCCCGACTCCCAAGCCTGGGATGCTGATGTCAGCGGGTACCCGCACTCCCAGGCCAGTGGCCAGCCATACTTGTCTTCTGCAGAGCTTCCTCCCGCACCTCCTCCTTCTGGAGCGGTCTTTGCAAGACCATTCTTGCATCCTGGGAACCTGGCTGCTCTTGTGGAGAGCAGCACTGTAGATGATGGCCCTTCTCTTGTCAATCTTGATAATGGCGCCCCGCCCGAGAGTCTGGATAATGACCATCGAGCTGAGAGTCTAGATAATGGACCTCTGGTTGCCAGTGTGAATGAACACACAACAGCCAGTCTGGATGCCATGTTAGATGATGGCCACCCACACACCAGCCTCGGTGGTGACAATTCGGACGCCAATCTGGATCATGGTTCTCCAGCTGCCAGTGTGGATGATGGTTTCTCACACACGAGTCTGGATGACAGGCCTCCACATACAATTCTGGATGAAATCCCTCTGCCCACCAGTGTGGGTGAACGTCCTCTGCCCACCAGTGAGGGTGAACGCCCCCTGCCCACCAGTGAGGGTGAACGCTCCCTGCCCACCAGTGAGGGTGAACGCCCCCTGCCCACCAGTGAGGGTGAACGCTCCCTGCCCACCAGTGAGGGTGAACGCTCCCTGCCCACCCATGACACTCAGGTACCTGACAGTGCCGATGCTCCCCGGCATCCTGAGGGCCGCAGTCACTCCCAGGCTGACAGTACTGCTAAAGTCTCAAAGGAAAGAATTCCATCTCGCTTTGAGTATGATTATCCTAGCGTCCGTAATGTCTCTGACGAGGACCATAACGAAACGATAACCCCAGACACAGGATCACCCAGCACAGAGAGAGAGCAGAGAACAACGGAGGAACCTCAGAGCGAAAGTCTGGCAATAGAAACAAGAGGCAAAACATTTTCTGGTTCGCTGCTACCACCATCTTCCTCAGCACCTCCACCAACTTTGGTCGACGTCCAGAGTCCCTCTCCACAAGGCAACGATGTCACTAGTTCCCCTGACACACAAGACGATGATGTCGTCGACTCGTCATCTGGAGACTACCCAAACGAGTACTATGATAAGCTCTACGATGAGTTCCTAGACATGTACTATGATTATGATGGTGAGGCAACTGCTCCTCCTCCTGTGCCTCCGGAAGGCGAAGCCACATCACAGCCTTCACAAACTATTAGTGATACAGCCAGTGAGACTCCCATCACTACACCAGACTCAACTACCACAACATCGTCCACTTCACCTTCTCCACCCACCACACCCTCGACACTACCACCAAATACGGCATCCACCACTACATTACCGGCCTCCACACCAACAGCACCAGCTACTACCACCACCACCACTACATTACCGGCCTCCACACCAACAGCACCAGCTACTACCACCACCACCACTACATTACCGGCCTCCACACCAACAGCACCAGCTACTACCACCACCACTACATTACCGGCCTCCACACCAACAGCAGCAGCAGCTACCACTACCACCACTACTAGTACTACTACTACTCCTCTAAATACTACACCATCACCAACCACCACCACCACAAGCACTACCACTCCAGTTCCCTCCACAACTACGAGTTCACCAACAACCCCAGTAATGGGTAAAACATCTACAGTGCCCAATAAGCTGTCCTGGAGGCCGAGTGTAGCACGGCCAGCAGCAGGAGCGGAGGAGGATGCCATCAAGGGCGAGGGAAGCGAGGAGCAGGTGAAGGGTCCTGGTGAGAGTCAGCGGGTCTCCAAGCAGGTGACTCACCTGCCCCTCCTCAAACACATGCCGGCCTCATCCACGCAAACTGGTAATAATACTAATTTTCTTGGTTGTAAATAGTAATTAAATCACGTGAAACACTCCATTAAGTTCCCTATTAACCCTGATCACTCATTAGTATCAAGTTTTAGTAATGTCTTTATGTGCATGCTGACGTGTGTCAGCCTTCACTTACATATATTCGAGTACACATGGCTGACAATTGTTAGGTTTCCTGTTGCACTGACGTTGTCAGCTATTATGGGTTGACAAATGCTGCTAACATTGTAAACTTGGTTAATCTCAGGTAAAGTCTACTTACAAAATAGTGAAATAACCTAAAGTGGGTAAGTAACCGAAATGTTTATGTTGCAGCGGTGGAGAGCGTGGGGCCTCCCATCAGCCTGTCGGAGATCATGCAGGGGCTGGGCATGACTCTGCCACAGTTCCTGGTGGCACTCAAGGCACATGGCCTCTCTATGAAGGAGTTCACCACCAGCCTCCAGGCCAGCGGACTCACTCAACGAGAGTTCAAGAAGACAAAGAACGACATGGAGTCACTCCTGAGCCTGCTGAAGACAGGCTCCAGCGCGGCAGCCACCGAGGGCGCGGAAGGCAACTCAACAAGTGGGATGGAATCGGCGGGGGAGGCGGAAAAAATACAAGAGAAACGAGTGAGCATTGTGCCGTATTGGCTCACCACTAGACCTAGCTGGAGACCATCCACAACTACCAAAAGGCCACCAACCACAACATCTACAACAACCACCACCACAGCAACTACCACCACCACAACAACCACCACCACCACCACAACACAGGCCCCAACTCCAGCTCCAATACCTAAAATATTTGGATTTCGTCCGGGAGGTGCCCAACAATTTCCTGCAAGACAACACGAGACAGTTTTGAATGATACGAGAGAACCATACAACGGCTCGGGAGAGTCGAAAGAAAAAGGCCCAATTCCTATTAAGTTGGACATGTCAGCCATCATGAAGGAAAAGGGTCTGAGTGCATCAGACATTCTCCATGATTTGGGCTCTCTCTTCACTATGGCTGACCACGACGTTACGCCAAGTGTCGGACACACTACAGAGAACAAGGAGGCAGAAGGCTTTCAAACGACAGTCCAGGATACACTGAACAAGGAACCAGGAGACACTGAAACGATGGTCCAGGAGACACAGACAACAAATGGCAATGTGAACAACAAGGAGAGTGGGTGGACGACAGTGTCATCCGTCACTCTGAGGCCTTACTATCCGTCGGGCGGATATGAGAGGAACCGCCCTCGTCCATACCGCCCACTGGGAGAGGGCGGCGGCTGGAACGGCGGTTCCCACCGCAGCATAATCACCAACAGACACCAAACAACCCAGAGGCCTACACTCCGCCCTCCATACCGACCACCGCCCATAAAAGCTTCAGGAGAAATACCAGGGCTCTCCATTCTGTACAACTCGACGACCAGTTCAAATGGTAACGACATCTCCTTCGATTTTGCAGAAGGTGGAGTGCCCGTGAGTACCCAGGAGGGCAATGACAATCAGGCCCGGTACCCACACAGTGGCTACTACCCAGTCTATGATAACGACCCCGATTCCCTCAACATGTCGACAAAAAGTGCCATTATGGCGGCATCCATTCTAGGCGGCGTGGCCATGTGCGTGTTCCTGGCCATCTTCGTGGTGGTGATGTACAAGGGTCATGGCCGCCTCAGACGCCTGCCCCGCACCCTTTCCAGTGACGCCTCCTCCTCCTCCACTCCGCCCATATATTCCACCAGGATCAGCGGCGGCAAGGGAGCCCACAAGACCTCAGGTTTCTGGGGAACACTCAAGAAACGTTTTGATCCTTATTCTCTCAGTCCCACACCCACAGTCATGAGCTGAGTGTCCTCCCCTCCCTCACAATCCTTCCACTTGCACACAGTTAATAGTGACATCAGGTGTCAACCCGAATGACGCGGAGAGCAACGCGGACTCCGTTATGGGTGGAGAGTCAGGCTGAGATTGGCTAAGTTGTGCGAGCTCTCGGAAGCTACAAACCTTAAAGCCCATAACAAAAGGAGTATGTGTATGTATAAGTAGATATCAAGCGCAGTGACTTATGGCCTGCCTCGCGGCATTAACTGTTATACATCTCGCTCGCAGCTCTCAATATAAGGCAGGTGAAGGACTGTGAGAATTACTGTAGTGTGCTGCCGTATTCGAGGGAAGTGTGTGTACGCGTAAGAGTAATTATCAAAAGGCACCAGGCCAGGAAGACTATGTAGCACTGGTAAGAACAATGACGTGTACCGTCACGCCAAACATGACGTTACCAGTGAACACTGGAGAACATTAAAACCAGGCGTTAATAACCTGGTTTGTTCTACAATTATCAATCTCCAGTTTGTTTCTCCCGTCAACAGTCATTCCAGTTACATTCAACAACGTCAACAGTTACAGTCTGTGTGCTTGTTGAAGCGATGCAACGGAAACTGCAACACTTGTACTTGTCTATTTATGTTATTTATCTATTGTATAATGTTTTATCTGTTCGAGTTCCGTGGTTGTTTCATTGCTTGTTTTATTTATACTCAGTTTGCATGGCAGCAGTGAATATCAGTGAAAATGTGTGCATGGCAGAGGCCTATAACAGTGAAAATGTGTGCATGACAGAGGCCTATAACAGTGAAAATGTGTGCATGACAGAGGCCTATAACAGTGAAAATGTGTGCATGACAGAGGCCTATAACAGTGAAAATGTGTGCATGACAGAGGCCTATAACAGTGAAACGAGTCATTTGTTTCAGTCCATTTTGTAAATACATCACAAAGGAGCGTCATGAAGGTACATCATATAGGTGTGTCATGCAGAGATATCATATAGGCGTGTCATGCAGATACCTCATACAGGTGTGTCATGCAGATACCTCATACAGGTGTGTCATGCAGATACCTCATATAGGCGTGTCATGCAGATACCTCATACAGTTGTGTCATGCAGATACCTCATACAGGTGTGTCATGCAGATACCTCATACAGGTGTGTCATGCAGATACCTCATACAGGTGTGTCATGCAGATACCTCATACAGGTGTGTCTTGCAGGTTCATCATACAGGTGTCCCATGCAGATACGTCATACAGGTGTGTCATGCAAATACATCATACAGGTGTGTCGTGCAGATACTTCATGCAAGTATATCATGCAGATACATCATGCAGATGTGTCGTGCAGATACTTCATACAGGTGTGTCGTGCAGATACTTCATTCAGGTGTGTCGTGCAGATACTTCATACAGGTGTGTCATGCAGATACTTCATACAGGTGTGTCGTGCAGATACTTCATACAGGTGTGTCGTACAGATACTTCATACAGGTGTGTCGTGCAGATAATTCATGCAGGTGTGTCGTGCAGATACATCATGTAGGTGTGTCATGAAGTTACGTCATGATAGTACGTCATGCATGTTGGCCATGCATATTTGCCAAGGGTGTGTCAAGCAGGTGTGCCAAGAATATGTGAAGCAGGTGTATACAGGAGATCTTATAAAGGTGGACCAGTTCCCCATCACTCACAAGTAATAAGGGCCACACTCGCTGCTCCTGTCTGTGTCAATGGTCTAAATATTGTCGTTGAAGTGTACATGGTTGAGTGGCGATGATGACCTGGTTAGTGACGTACACAGTTAACGCCACATATAACTACACGCAGACACAGTCGCCAAGGGTGGTCACGGTTTTCAAAGGAGCTGTAGTGTTGTCTAAGGTTACCTGGCTGCCATTTTAATTGCCTATCGCGATTTGAATATAAAATGGGCACTTTTTCTTGTCAGAGTGTATAGGTGAATGGAAGTCACCGACTGCTCTCTTATGAACCATTAATCTGTGCCTTTTATAATAGTTCCATAAACAGTAGCTATACATCGTATAACGGAGCCATCAATCACAGACTACAACACTGCTGCTGCCTAAGAGTTTGATCTTACGGTCAAAATCATTTAGTCCAATAACCGTCAACTCTTTTCTATGGAAATCTGGCTCACACGATACATAGTTCAGCAATATTTAACAAATGACCAAGCCGAGAGGCGGGCCTGGCCGAGGGGCGGGCCTGGCCGAGAGGCGGGCCTGGCCGAGGGGCGGGCCTGGCCGAGGGGCGGGCCGGGCCGAGGGGCGTACTGGGCCGCCCAAGAGTGTAATGAGTGAGTGTGCGCTGAGGACGCTAGAGGTTACCCACATGTCTTGCAAGATCTAACTTTGAAACTGTCAAAAAAACTTGTTACTTTCTGGACAGTAACCGCTTGTTGGCGAGCAACGTCTGGCGAACGTGCGCCACACCAAGCCACACATGGGATGGGCTGGCATGGAACGCCAGGTGCGCTCAATGCCCATCCCGGCGCAATTTCGCCGGACTTTTCATAACCCAAAGCAGCATTATGGTAGCGGCCTCGGTACAAGGGGTTGTGAGTACACCCTGCTACAAGGGTTGTAATTTTAAAGTGTTGTTAATGGTGTATTTGTTGATAAGAATAAAGGTAATGTATTCAGCCCTGTGTTTTACTCCACCACTGGACCTTGCTGGCGTCCCCCCTCTAATGTAACAGAAAATGTACAATAAAAACGCACCGAGTGAGGGAGAGTGAGGTGGAAGGGAGGAGGAAGAGTGGTCAGGCGAACGGGAAAGTTTAGAATGAGAGAACATAGGTTAGAGTAGATAAAGTAGATAAGAGGTAGATAGAAAGGATAGAATAGTAGTAGAAATGCTAAAAGGAAGAGAATAGGAGGAGGTACGACTGCCACTATCCATTTAATAAGTATTAAAAAGACAAGGAATGGATCATGTCTTTACCACAATATTATCTGATGTTCTCAAGTAACAACTGCAAAACATGTAAATCATATAGTCACGAATCTTTAAGTCGTAATCCTAGCCAGTAAACTTCAGAATGCTCTTCACTCCAGCTTTCAATATCATAGACATGAATCTAAGATCTAGGGATCAGGGATCTTCCTACCACACCTAGACAGCGGCTTGTTTGATGGAAAGAACTCAGCCACTCGTCTACAATTATCAGCTTACCAAAGAGCGAGGTTTCATCTGAAACGACTTGACCTCTGCTCAATCCGTGAACATTTAACACTCGAAATATGTGACTTTTGAAATGCTAAGGGCCGATAGCCTGGCGTTGCCAATATCCTGTGTGGGCTGACTCTACTTGTATCAGACATATTAAATACAACCATCTATGGTGTTACACCAATCTTGGTACTGCTGTGCAAATATTCATTCCCTGGTGAAATAAATAAGTTACCGTCAATTTATACTTGCTCGAGTTACATTCTAGTAGCCATTTGTTGGACCATTCCTTCAATTTATCCAGGTCATCTTGTAGTCTCTTGATGTCCTCTGTCATAATCATTCTCTGATTTTTACCAGTCACCAGAGAGGAATGATTCTATACGTTCTGGAAGAACAATTATGTATCAGAAACAGATCCGAGTATAGAATCCTGTGGTACTCCGCTTATTACATCTCACCATATGAGATGGCATTGGGTGGTTATAAATAGGAGATGACTAGTATGGGCCAATAGGCCTTCTGCAGTTACCTTTGTTCTTATGTTGATATTCAGCTATTAATTCTCTATTTTTTACATTCATCCACGTTTCGGCAAGTGCAATAATATATCTTTTTTTGTGTACAGAAAAGAGCAATTTAATTCGTTTATTTGGTTTCTTAGACTTAGACTTAGTCTTTCTTAGAGTAATTGGGTAAATACTGGTTCGGTAACAGGGTTGTTGATTTGTGGAACCAATTACCACGTAACGTGGAGAACCCATTTATCACATGCTGCATATCTGTAACTGTCGAGGCAGACAGTCACAGTGAGAGGGTGTGTTAGCCGGAGCTCCTGAGTGTAGTTATATTATCATAGCAATATGGAAGTTGTAGTGAAGGAACTGATTAATCTAGTTGGAGCTCTGAGGACAGAATTGTACTCTCTACGGGAGGAGGTACGACAGCTGAAACAACATCGAGAAGAAACGAAGGAGGAGACCAGTAGTAAAAAGACCTCGTCTTGAAAACTTGTAAAGGACAGGGGCCTTAAGAAGACCTTGATAAAGCCGCCTACAGACGCCATAAGAACTTCTAATTCATTTGCCGTATTGGAGGACGAGTGCTGTGGTGAGACTGTGGATCACGCGAAAGGGAAAGCAACGAAGAGTAACGAAGCGCAGGGCCCTCAGAGAGTAAAGGAAGTACCTAAGCCAACTTTAGTTGTGGGAGATTCCCAGATAAGGTATTTGGATAGAACGTTTTGTGCTAGAGATAGGGGGGGGGGACAGGTTAAGGGTTTGCTATCCCGGAGCTGGTATTGGTGATATTATAAACAACATGAATGATATTATGGCTGGAAATGGGAACAATCCCGTTATTTGCATTAGCGCGGGAGGAAATGATATTGGTCGAGTTAGGAGTGAGGAACTGATTCAGAGGTATAAAACAGCCCTAGAATTAGTTAGAAGCAAGGGAGGAATCCCGATCATATGTGGCATTCTTCCAAGAAAGGGAGTGGGAAATGAATGGTTGTCGAGGGCACTTGGTGTCAATTGCCGGCTGGAAAGATATTACAAATCAAATGCAAAATCTTTCATAGACAACTGGGAACACTTCTATGGAAGAAATTAAATGTATGCTCGGTATAGGGTGCATCTATCGAGGGCTGGGGTTGTTGTTGTTGCGAACTCGTTGGAACCAGCGGTTAGAGGCGTTTGTTTGGATTTAAACTGTTAGTAGATAGTGGTATGGGAATTGATTTGGAGGAAGGAGGTAATAAAAGTATGTGTTTGTGGGAGAAAAGAATTGGCAAAATGATCAGGGAAAGAGAAGGACCTCAAAATAACAATTCACTTAGGGAATTGTTATACTAACACTAGAAGTCTAAGAAATAAAATAAACGATTTAAATGCTCTTGTCTGCACAGAAAAAATAGATATTATTGCACTTACCGAAACGTGGATGAATGTAGAAAATAGAGAGCTATTAGCTGAATATCAAATAAATGGATTTAAACTATTTCACACAGATAGATATATTAGACAAGGAGGGGGAGTAGCCATATATGTTAGGGACAATTTGAAATGTAGTCTCAAAGAGGGAATCAAAACTGAGCCACATACAGAAACTATTTGGATAGAATTAAACGAAAAAGCAAATAATATTATAATAGGAGTTATATATAGGCCACCAAATTTAGACAGAATGGAAGCAAAGCATCTATGGGATGAAATATCTAGAACATATTTAGAATGGTTAGGCCCTATTTAGATTATGCAGTTCAGTTTTGGTCACCGTACTATAGAATGGATATAAATTCACTTGAACGTGTCCAGCGTAGGATGATTAAGTTAAATCCTCAAATTAGAAATCTTTCATATGAAGAAAGATCAACAAAACTTAAGTTAGCGTAAGCCGGGAGCTGGAATTGGAGATATTGTTGACAACAGGAAAGATATTATGACGGGAAATGGGAACAAACCCATTATTTGTATTAGTGCAGGGGGTATTGATGCTGGACGAGTTAGGAGTGAGGAACTCATAAAGAAAATTAACAAAGCTATAGAATTAGTTAGGAGCAAGGGAGGAATCCCGATCATATGTGGCATTCTTCCAAGAAAGAGCGTTGGTAATGAATGGTTGTCGAGGGCACTTGGTGTCAATTGCCGGCTGGAAGGATATTGCAAATCAAATGCAATGTCTTTCATAGACAACTGGGAACACTTCTATGGAAGAAATGAAATGTATGCTCATGATGGGGTGCATCTATCGAGGGCTGGGGTTGTTGCTGTTGCGAACTCGTTGGAACCAGTGGTTAGAGGCATTTGTTTGGGTTTAAACTGTTAGTAGATAGTGGTATGAGAATTGATAGGGAGGAAGGAGGTAATAAAAATATGTGTTTGTTGGAGAAACAAATTGGCAAAATGATCAGGGAAAGAGAAGGGCCTCAAAATAACAATTCACTTAGGGTATATTTTACTAACAATAGAAGTCTAAGAAACAAAATAAACGAATTAAATGCTCTTGTCTGCACAGAAAAAATAGATATTATTGCACTTACCGAAACGTGGATGAATGTAAAAAATAGAGAACTATTAGCTGAATATCAAATAAATGGATTTAAACTATTTCACACAGATATATTAGACGAGGAGGGGGGGGAGTAGCCATATATGTTAGGGACAATTTGAAATGTAGTCTCAAAGAGGGAATCAAAACTGAGCCACACACAAACTATTTGGATAGAATTAAACGAAAAAGCTAATAATATTATAATAGGAGTTATATATAGGCCACCAAATTTAGACAGAATGGAAGCAAAGCATCTATGGGATGAAATATCTAGAGCATCTAGATCTAATAGTATTTATGTCATGGGTGACTTTAATTTTAGTGGAATAAACTGGGTGAACAAAACAGGGAATAATGAAGCAGAAGATTTTCTAGAATTAATTGACGATTGCTTTCTTACGCAACACATTAAGGAACCAACGTGGGGAAATAATATTTTAGATTTAGTGTTAACTAACAGGGAAACTCAAATTTAGGACATGGAAATAGGGAGTGAGCTAGGGAACAGTGATCATAAAAAAGATTTAGCATAGAATGGAATAGATCTGTAGGAGAAAATTCTGTTAAAGTGCCTGATTTTCGAAAAGCTGATTTCAATAGCCTAAGAATTTTTTTGGGTCAAATAGATTGGAATGTCTTGGGTATGTGGTGTGGGCTAGACGTGAACCCAGCGACAGGTAACGGAAAAGGGGATTTCGATGTGGATTCAAAATATAACCTATTTACAAATATTCTAAGCAAAGCCCAGGAACGTAGAATACCATATAAATTGAATAGATCGAATACTAATGATCCAAAATGGATAATAAAGGATCTGAAGAACCATATAAGTAAAAAGAGAGCGTGGTACAAAAGGATTAAGAATGGAGAAATTAGTTTAGAACAGGAATTCGTACAACTGGTTAGAAATGTTAAAAAAGACATAAGGAAAGCAAAAAGAAACTACGAAGTTCGTATAGCAGGGCAAGCGAAGACAAATCCTAAAGGGTTTTTCCAGTTATATCGAACTAAGACTAGGGAAAGGATAGGTCCATTAAAAACCGAGACAGGTCAAATAACGGATAATGACGAGGAGATGAGTAGTATTTTTAATAAATATTTTATATCTGTATTTACTAAAGAGGAACTTAACAATATGCCTTCAGCCGAACAAGTCTATGTGGGTGGGGATGAGGACAGGTTGACTAGTTTAGCAGTTACCAGGGAGGATGTAATTAAACAAATAGTAAAAGTAAAACCAAACAAATCCCCAGGGCCGGATGAAGTGTTTGCCAGGGTGCTTAAAGAATGCAAAGAGGAGCTTTGCGACCCACTGTCTACCATATTTAATAAATCAATAGAGTTAGGTAGAGTGCCAGAGTCATGGAAGGTAGCTAATGTGGTACCAATTTTTAAGAAAGGAGATAGATCACTTGC